TTTGTGACTTTAGGTAAATTGTTTCAATACACTGTTCCCAGGATATAATTATTGCAATAGATTTTGCAGGTTTTGATTTGAGGAACATTGCTGACTCGTTTCTGCCTCCTTCACCTACTTTAAGCTTCTAAACTAGCCTCTCCAACCAAGGGGGCATTTCATCATCTCATATGAAGACCTTGACTTTCAGTTTCCTTAACACTCAGGTTCAGACTTGATATTTTAAAAAGTGTATATAAATTTTATTTTACTTTTTAAAAAGATTTTATTTATTTATTTTTTAGATAGGGAAAAAGAGGGAGAAAGAGAAGGAAACATCAAGGTGTGGTTGCCTCTTGAGCACCCCCCACTGGGGACCTGGACACAACCCAGTCATCTGCCCTGACAGGGAATTGAACCAGTGACCCTTTGGTTCACAGGCTGGCACTCAATCCACTGAGCCACACCAGCTAGGGCTAAAAAAGTATATATAAATTTTAATGTCTTTAAGATGCATTTTGAAAGAAAGCTTGGTTGTCTGTGCTATACTAACAATTCTCTACTTTTTCCTTTTTTCTCTGCTCCATTCTGATTTCACTTCTTGTTCATTCTTCAAGTGAAACACTGTTAAGTTTGTATAACTTCTGAACAAAGTGAAAATTCATCAAGAAAAATTGTTTATATGAGTGTTTCTAACAAGAAAAAAATGTTGAAAAGGAGTAACTGAATTTAACAGAAAACAGCATGTACAGGCGAATGGAAATTAAACCAGAAGTTTTAATGGCATATGCATTTTTAGATGTAAAAGCAACACAACATCAAAACTTTTTTAAATCTTAGAATTTCCCTACCCTACCATAAGAATTTTAATTTTTAATCATTTTTCTTTAGGAGTTGTTTATGTGCATCTTTTTTCATGTAGTTATAATCTCAATGCATGTAATTTTGCACTTTGGTGAATTTGTTCAGGAAAACTCTTTTAAAGCTCTTTTTCATATTTCTTAGACGAGTTACCAGATATTTGGGGGGAACTTTTTTAGGGTCAGACCTGAATGCCTGCTGATATTGGGCATCCAGTTTTCATATTGTTTCTGGCTGAAGAGTGTCACTATCAGCTAGTCTTGAGGAAAGCTAGAATGACACCAACCTCTGGGCAAAGAAAAATGTGCCACTTAAATGAGTTAAGTGGGGCTTGTACTTGGTAGATGTGTGTTTTCTAATTGAATAATGAAAAAAACTTAGCAAAAAAGTACTGATTGAGAAAGGTTCAGGTACATGCACACCTCTTCTTCTGAGTCCTTACTATTCAACCTCCTCCAAGTTCTTTTACTGTATATGTTGAAAAAGGGGTTTAAGAATCATAGACTCTTAGGCTTGTGACCTTTCAGGGCACTTCATCTCACCACCTCATGATACAGGCAAGAGTCCAAATCTGAAGCTGAGAGAGAACGCAGACTTCATGGCTTGCAGGGAGGTGGGTGGGTAGGCAGACCCTAGGGCTTCTAGTTCAAGACTCTTTCCAGTCCTGAGAAGAAGGAGTAACAAAGAAATGAACAGGATTAAGAAAGAAAAAGATGCAGCAGAAAAAGAAAGCAAAACTAGAGGAAAGGAAGATGGTATGGGTAGAAAGAAGAGGAGGATAAGAATTAGGATGAGGTTTTCAAGCCCTTGCTAACCTCAAAAGTAAACTTGAATTTAGAGAGCACAGAGTCCTCTGAAATGAGCATGTCAAGTTATATAGGGGAGTCAGCTAAGCCGTAAATTTTCTTGTCTGCTTAGAAATCAAGTTTTTAGAGAAGACAATGTGATGAAAGATGATAATTCAAGATGTACTGTCTCCTTTACCATTTGGTAACCATGGAGGAAATGCATGCTTTTCTTTGTTTTTCTTTCATAATTGGGATTTTATTGGTTGTTTTGAAGATAAATACACAGGTGTTACAATTTGTACAGAATTTTTAAATTTTATTATTTTTAATCATTTTTTATTGTTATTCTATTACACTTGTCCCAATTTTCTCCATTTGCCCTCCTCCGCCCATCCTACCCACCGACCCCTCCCACAGTGAGTCACCACCCTGTGGTCCATGTCCGTGGGTCACTCATAGGTGCTCTTTGACTAGTCCCCTCACCTTCTTTCCACCATCACACCCCTCCCGCATCCTCTCTGGTCACTGTCAGCCTGTTCCATGTTTCCATGCTTGAGGTTCTATTTTGTTTGTTAAATTTATTTTGTTCATTAGATTCTTCTTATAGGTGAGATCATACAGTACTTGTCTTTCACTGACTGTCTTATTTCACTTAGTATAATACTCTCCAGTTCCACCCAGGGCATACACAGTTCTTTTCATGCATACCAAAAACATAAAGTCATAGTCATAATTCCTTTCTAAACAATTATTTCAGTGACTTTCTAGCTTAAAACTTGAAGCCTAATTTTCCTTAATAGAGTATTAAGTACCAGTACCTTCAAGTGTTGATATGCTGTTACAATGAAGTCCTACTAATTCACACTTCAATATCATATATACCACATAATTGAATGTTCAATCTTTTACAGCACATGAACAAAGTTACTATGAAAACTGGACCACCATGCTGAAGATGTTCCAGAGTGCACAACGTTCTAACTGGGAACGCCAAGGTCAAGGAGCGGTTTTCTTCAGGAAACAGTTCTGCCGAAACATGGGAATAGAAGGAATTTAAAATGTTTGAGACACGAAGTGCATAACTGACTCCAAAGTGCCATTCAGTGTACTTTGTATTACAGGACATAAAAACTACCCCCATCTGTGGAATGTTAAACTACACCAAGCCTCCCATCTTCAATATCCCACTATTTTCTGGTTGCACCGAACAATAAACAGCCAGCGCATGATTTTACCTCCTGAAAACGCAGGTATCCACACTCAAGTGGGATGAACCCTGGCTGGGTGGCGCAGCAGTTGGAGCATCCTACCGATCGATATGCCAGAGGCTGTGGGTTAGGTCCCTGGTCAGGGCAAGTACACAAATCGACCAATGAATGCACAACTAAGTGGAAAAACTAATCTATGTTTCTCTCTCTCTCAAAAAAATCAATAAAACAAAAGAAAACAACAAAACAAACAACATATTCTAAAAACCAAAAGTAATAAAAACAAATTACAGTACATTAAAAAAATGGGATGAGGTGGAATTCCCATCTTCTTAAAAATGTTCCTAGAGCTACTGAAACACTTGGTGTGTACAAAACAGTTGATAAAAGGATTCCTCTGGATTGTACAAGAAGGGAGACAGGAACCACCAGTAACACATGGTACATGATGTTAACCAGACTTGACTTCTTTTCCTCCTGCTTCATCCTGGGCGAGGCTTTCTGCATTTTTAGTTTCTCTGTTCTCTGCAGGTAGGTCTTCTTTAGGTTCCTGGTTAGCTGCTTTGGCCTGATTTTTGTTTGCTCTCCTTTTCCCTTTCATTTGCACTTTTTTCATGCAGATTTATCCTTACTGCTGCTTTTTTTTTTTTTGGCTTCATTTCTATTCTGCAGGAGCAGGTTTAGTTGACAACTTTGCCAATATCCTCTTGGGCTCCTACTTTGCCACCTCCTTGGCAGAGCTGACCTTCCTCTTGGCATGGTGGCAGCATGGTGGTACAGGAGGGTGCATGCTGGTGCCTGAAGGTCCTGGTGCACCAAGAGCCTTGGCGAACCTGGGCAGCCTGGCTGTGGCTGCTTCTCCCACCTCCCAGGCTGCTTGGCCCCACCACAATACAGGCCTTTCATGTGGACTCCTGAGGGGGTTTTTCTAGTTGAAGAATAGACACAGATGACCTAATAGAAGTATGCATAGTTGACCAATGCTCCACAAATTCCCTCTGTCAACTCCTTTCTGGATATTTACAGAACTTCAGTTTGCTCTTGAGACATCACTAAAGAAAAAGTTAATTAGGCATTACCTACCTAGAGAAACTCAGTCTCCCTCATTTCGTAAAAAGGTCCACAAAGGATTTGTAACTAGCCCCAAGCCCTGTAGCTTAGAACAATTTAGTTAATGGGGTGTAACAATCACCCCAAAGTTTAGCAGGTGAGATAGTCTCCTCAAAATGGCTGCAGTAAGTTTGAGTCTATTTCCTCTCCTCTTAAATCTGGTTTGCCTTGTAACTGCTTTGTCCAATAGAATGAAGTGGATGTTCTAGAACTTCCAAGCTCAGTCCTTAAGAAGGCTGGCAGTGTTCAGTTCTTCCCTCAAAGCCAGCTGCCCGGTAAGAAGCCTGACCGGCCTGCTGAAAGGACCACATGCTGTGAGGAAGACAGAGCTAGTGACCTGGAAAGACAGAGGTCACGTGGAGGCCAACGGAGGTGCCTGATGTGTGAGCGAAGGAAGACTTCTCAGACCTTCCAGCTCAGATGCCAAGTGAGTGAGCCTAGTCAATGCCCAGCTGACTCCAGCCGACTCCCAGAACCATGAGAAATAGTAAATGGTCGTGGTTTGGGCTACTAGTTCTCGGTGGTTTGTTACACAGAAATAGATCATTGACATGGTGACTTAAAACAATAACAATGTATTGGGTTGGTCAAAAAGTTCCTTTTTTTTCCTAAGATGGCTCTAGTAGCATTTCGCTGTCTTTAACTTCATTCAAAACAATTTTGTTAGATTGTATTATGACAGCTGTCATATCAGCATGCATTTAAAAAACATCAAAATTGGTGAACTTATGTGTAGCCATTTTTATATTGAAGATGGAAGAAAATATGCAACATTTTCAGCATATTACACTTTATTATTTTGAGAAAGTTAAAAATGCAAATGAAGCACAAAAAAAGATTTGTGCAGTGTATGGAGAAGGTGCTGTGGCTGATTGAACATGTCAAAAGTGGTTTCAAAGTTTTGTGCTGGAAATTTCTCACTGAACGATGTTCCACAGTCAGGTAGACCAGCTGAAGCTGATAATGATGAAATTAAGACATTAATTGAGAACAACATCATTATACCATAGGAGAGATAGCCAACATACTCAAAATATCCAAATCAATAAAGTTATTGGTGAGAATGAAAAACGTGTCTTTTATTTTACAGAAAAAAATCACACAGACTTTTTGACTGACCCAATATTGTTTCTAATGAATCTCTCAGTTGGGTGGTGGCTCTGCTGATCTGAACCGAGCCTGGCTGATCTCATGTGGACTTGCTTGGGCCTCTGCAGTAACTGAAGGCTGTCTGGTCAGGGTGGCCTCAGCTGCGAGGACTCAGCTCTGCTCCGTAGGTCTTTCATCCTCCAGCAGGCTAGTTCTCAGAGAGATGGCAAGATTCTAAGAACAGAAGCAGAAATGCAGAAACTTTTTTTTTAAATGGCCTTTCCTTTTTAGAGCAGTTTTATGTTCACAACTGAGCACAGAGAGGGAAGGGACTACAAAGTCAGAGGGAGATCCTTACTTGGAGTCATTAGTGCTATCAAATCTACTACAAGGAATCCATTGTGTATTCCTTTTAGGGGAATATTAAATAGCATAATTAAGGGGTCTTTTGGACTAAGATCTGGAAAAACTGGAGAATTTATACTTGAAATAAAGTAAAACAATTAGATGAGCATTTTTTGATTTTTAAATGGTTCCAGATTTCCTGGCCAAGTCATTATTGCTAGTGATATTGATCTTGGTTTCCTTCCAATAGAGGGTGACTTTCCCAAATTCTTGTTGATAAATTTGGAGAGAATTGGGAAGAAATATCAGGTTTTGCACTATGTGCTCCCTTGTTCAATTAATTAATTCACAGTAATGATGATCGTAAGGCTTTTTGTTGAGCAGTTTAGAATCCTGTTTAATAGAATTAGCTCTCCAAATAGCCAGTGGTCAGTCTGCTTTGTGACTTCTCTCTGGAAACCAAAGGCTGTTGGCATCTGTGCTTTACAGAAAGGAAGCACTCAGGCTCTTAGTGGGAAAGGGGGCTGTGTGTGCACATGTATGTGCATTTGTACATAATGTGTGTGACCACCTGTGATCCACTGGGTTTTAAATTTAACTTTACCTGTGTTCACTTCTCCTGCATTCCCAGGGAACACTAAGAACTGACTTTGCATTTCAACTTATCCCTGCCTCTCTGGGGAGCAGATTCATTTTCCTCTCCTGGGATTTCAGAACAGACACATGAAGTGCAGAGAAAGGGAGACTGGGATTACCATTCCCACAAACCAGCCTGCCTGCTGCTTACAGCAGTGTGCTGCTGCCCCCTACACAGTGATCCACGCCAGGCCCATCCAGGTTCTCTGATCTGCCCCTCTTTCCTCCACTGCTCCCTCTATGGACTCCAAATTGAACTTTGTTAGTCCAGTGTTTGTTATTTCTTGTTCAGGGATTGGGAGTCAAAGAACCTGTGTTCTGGCCCTTGAGTCACTTAATATCTTTGGGTGTTCCTTTTCTCGTCTGTAAAACAAGCAACCTGGACTAGACGTGTGTTCCTGCTCTAGCTTTGAAGATTTAGGATGCCAGTATAAAACCAAACACACATACTGGGTCCTAAATAAGTGATTCCCTAAAACTTCAGATACACCTGGAAGAAGTAGACTGCGAAAAGTCTAAGAATAAAGGTGTTTGTGTTGCCAAGGAGGTATTACACTCCATTCTGAGCTGATATTACACCATTAGCCAACTTCCCCAGGGTCGGGTTGGGAGGTACAAAAAGATTTCAGAACTGAAAAGAACGGTTTAGGGAAAGTTATATTGGCTCACCTAGCCAGCGATATTTGAGGAGAAGGACAATGAATTGTTGGTTTTCCTCATACTGAATGTATCCCACGTTTTCCGTCAGTGTTGTTTTGTTTTTAACAAGAGTAAAATGGAAGGAAGCAATGAGGATGAGAAATACTACTTGCTTTGATTCATCTGGGAGAGATCCGCTACCTTTTGGTTCCTATTTAATAAATTTAGCTATTTCCATGACAGCACCCACCCCACCTCCGCCCCGCCCCGCCCCAGGAGAGTCCTTTAGATCTGCTCCTGCCCTTTCTGTAACTAGACTGACAGCAGATGGGAGTACAAGTGCCCCACGCCCACTCAGCGCTCTCGGTCGAATTTGGTCCCCACCGCCCATCACAGCCTATTTGCGCTTTATGTCCCTCCCGCCTTCTCTCTACTAATACCCCCTCGCCAATTCTTCCCTATCTGTTGGGTAGGCCTTATTTCCTGGGAACACTTACTGTCTTTAGAAGGGGACACACCTGTCCCTTCCAGGTGGAGGGGGCACCAGTGCTTCAGTGAGGGAATTGCAGCAAGCGGAGTCCAGTGGGCAGGCGACCAGGCGACTCAGTGCAGAGTTCAACTGCCTGAGGATGGGGGGAGCCCTATCCCAAGCACAGCCCTGTTAAGCCAGCTCCGGTCTAGTTCTGGAGCCTAGCAGGAATCGGCCCGCCCCACCCCTGCTCTCCGTCCTGGGCACCCGACCGCGGGACAGAGAGCCGTGTCCACGTGCATCCACTCTGGCGCCCAGGCCGACTTCCGTGGAGGGTCCAGCTGCCTCGCTGCTGTAAACCGGTCTGGCTTCCTTGCAGGGCGTGCGGGATGGAGCAAGGGGGTGGAGAGAAAAGGGGAAGAGCTTGGGCGGCCGGCGGGCGGGGCCTGCAGCCTCCCGGAGCCTCGGCAGTCACCGAGCAGTCTGCTCTTTCTGCGCCTCTCTCCGACTCCGGCGCGTAGTGCGCCGGGACCCGCGCCCCAACCGGGGGGCGCCGCTGCTCCTCGGCTGCCGGCCTGCGAGAGCGCGGCCGCAAGGCTGCGCGGGCTGTGGAGCTGTTTCTAGAGGCTGGTGGTTTGGTGGCCGTTCGCTGCTCAGTCTGACCGAAGGACTAGCGGGGAAGGAAGGGGAAAGAGGGAACACACACACTCGCCGCGGCGCGCGCGCATTGCACACTAGCAGCCGCGCGCCCCCGGCGAGGCGAGGCGCGTCCGGCGCAGTTTGGCCCCGCGACTCAGGCCCCTGCACCTGCCGGCTCTCTCCTCTGAGCTCGGGCCCCGCCCCCAGCCAGCGGACCCTCCCGCGCCTGGCCCGCCCTGCTCTCCCTTCGCGGTGGGGAATCAACGGCACCCCGATAACTTGCAGACTGTGGCGCAACTGGTCCCGACAACGGAGGCGCCCCAATGCTGCCCCAGTGAGGTAAGTTTCCTGCGCGTCCCCGGCCCCTCCTCCCTGGACCCTCCTTCTGGGCTCCGGTTTAGGGACTCTGGCTCTGAACGAATCCTGACGGTCTCTTCACGCTCCCACTGTGTCTGCGTTGTGCTGGCGGTAGGCTAAAAGAGGTGCGCGCGGCTACCGAAGCGGGACATTCATTCCGCGGGGGCCACAGCTGTGCGCTCCGCGCCATCACCCACCCGCTTGCCACTCTGATCCCGGGGCCGCAGTGACACTCGGGGAGCATTCCCGGTTCACTTATTCAGGAGCCCCGTCCTTTTTTTCTGGGGAACGCGCTGAATTTGGCAGTATCGGGAGACATCTCCCACTACCCTCACCCTGTATTAATCAGAGGTGAACTTGTTAGGCGCCCCTGGGATTTTAAGAGGGGCTCTCAAGTCAGTGTTCTGGTCATTTCTGGCACTGGACCGGATTGAACAGGTGCCGTATGGTTCCAGCCTAAATGCTGCAACAGACTTATGCATTTCCTCTGCCTCTCCCCTAGCCCCATCAACGTGACGCTTCAACAGCTGGGGCTGGAGGGTGGGAGCGGGTGGTGGGTGGGGGCCGGGCGGCGGAACTGAGAGAGAGACTGACAGGGTTTGATTTGTCAGACCAGAGCCAGGAGTCGCCAAAACAGAAGACAACAAAAGTCTCCTAATCGCTCATCTATGCAAATGAGCCTGTTGTCATTTCTTATCCCCCCCCTCCCTCGTTTATTTGTCTCACATTCTCAGCGTGGTTGGGTAGAAACCTGTTCCAAAGAAGTTGTTTGGGTAGGCTGATGAATTCTTTCGTCTTGTGTACCGCAATCAGGGCTCTCAACAAGGAAATGCTAGTTACTCTGATGCTTTTTAAAGGCAGAGTGTTGCAGACCAAAAATACCACCCCCGCCCCAACACTTTTCTATGAAATTCTCAGCCTGCTGGAGGCCCTAGCTGCAAGATGAATGACTCCTGAGGGACCGGTTGGGCCTCATAATGTGTTATTAAGTCTTATGCAAAGGAGAAGCGGTCCCCTCATCAATATTACTGATTGGAGGTTTGGGGAGCCGCTGTTGCCCCTTTGGTGAAGATCATCCATCCAGACTTCTTTCTCCCTTGTTTTGTGGAAAGGCTGGTGTTCTGCAGCCCAGTGGAGAAAAGCAGAAGGGTTTGTTTCATTACCACTCTGGTGTGAAGTAGAATAGTGTTCACGGGAGCTTTTGTCAGAGTATTTCCAACTGAAAGGCGGCCCTGGAAAAAAACCTTTCTCAGTCAACTTCATGCCAGTGGGAAGTTGAATAAGCATCACACATGATCTGGAGCTGAGGGAAATGGTGCCTCTGTATGCAGTAATATGAGTGGAGACTTATGAGGACTGATGAGAAAGCTGGTAAGTCTGAGACTGATGCTTAATGATCTCTCAAGAAGGAAACTATTAAGAGCTGAAAGATTAAACCACATTCCATTTTCATCTAAATTAAGACTAGAGGGATTTAATAACAACACTTTAAAGTTACATCAGTGCCTTACTACTTGTAAATGCTTGTCAGTGTTCTCACTTGATTCTGACCACTTCTGAGAGACTCGGGACAAAGGTTATGAACTTGATATTTGCAGGAGGAACATGAGGCTCACAGGTCCAGGGTCTTAGCATGGTAACAACTGGCTGGAATTGGAGTCACAGCAAGGTTCTTTGAAATACCCATACCACCACCACTGTCACCACCCAGTGCAGGTTTTGTACTTGTATAACATGTTTACAATGGCCAGAGCTTCTGCATTTATTTTTTTCTGCACAGTCTTACTGTGAATTACCTTTCACACTTGACAGATGAGGATACTGAGGTTTAAACAGGTGATGGGAGGTGTCTGTGGTTTCATGTCTAATCCAATGGAGTTTACAAGGCTAGAACTCAGAACTCCTGATGCCTACTCCACTGCTTTGTGGATTATACCATTGTTCCACTTCCGATAGCAATTAGGACACATCACAGATGCTGCACTACACTAGGGACTGTTAAGCATGCCTGCTGGTGACCTGGGTTCTAGTTCTGGCACTATCTTCATCTGTATGACCTGGGCCAAACCATGTCATCTCTGAACCTTAGGTCTCTCACATATAAAACAAGAGGTTTGTATTGAATTATCCTTCTCCTTCTAGTTTTAGTATTCTACAATGTACATCAGTATATTTGTAATCCAGTGTTATAATTTTCTCTACAGGGGAAAAAAAGCCTTTTAACCTTGACTTACTAGGGACTTAACTCATTATCTATTTCACATGTGATTTACTCCTCCTTCTCATTTACCACAGACCACTTACCCGTTTTTGCCCTGCATAATGCTCATCCACATTTTGTGCACATTATACACAGGCTTATTATGCCCATGTTATGTAATCATCATCCCCATGTATAATGCACATCCTTATTTTTCCCTCAACAATTTGGGCAAAAAAAGTGCACATTATACACCGCAAAATATGGTAATGAAGGGAAAGGAAATTCCAAGTGTACCTCAGCTCAGCATCTTGTTTGGTATTACAATTTGACTTGAAAATATTATGAGGGGCTGACCTACTCTAAAATACATGTCAGGATTTACTTGAAAATTCCGGACAGTCAACTCAGTACCTTTATTTGTTTATTTTTCAGTTTCAGGGTTTATATACCGTAAGTACTCAATAAATAGCTGTGGAGTGAAGGAGGTGAATCAAATAACTCCTAAGGAAATCACTAGCATCTCATCATGTAAATTCCAACATCTGCTGGCCCATAGGATAATTCACCTACAAGAGGTGTGCCTCCTGAAGCTGGCAGGTAGAGGTGCCCATTGTTGCTCTCCTTCCTCAATACATAGTATGAAGAAGAGTCGTTCTTATTCCACATGGACAATGGACTCATGTCATCCATATTACACTCTTTTGCTTGCCTCACCCACTTAGTTAGCAAAGTTTCACCTATGGAAAGATGTGTTACTAGAAATCGACTCGTGCCATTTCATGAAAGAGTATGTCTTGAGAGGGAGAAAGCAACCACTCTTTTTTTATGTATGTATTTGAGTAAATTTCAGCACATGCTACTACCAGCATGTGGTTTCAGAGGGGGAACCTAATTAACAAAACAAACCTAGTTTCTGTTCCCCTTAAGAATCCTCTTCTCTTTACACCTCTTGTTTCTGTGTACTGAGTAGTGTTTCTGTACTTAGAAGAATGATGGCAAAGAGTTAGAATGGGTCTTAAATATTATTAACAGACCCAGCCATTGGGGATGGAGGTGTATTTCTTTCTGATAAGAGACTTCAAATATTAACTAACTAGTTCAGACACTCGCACCTTTTATGGGTAAGAGAGCTGAGGCTTAGAGGGGTGAAATGGCTTGCTCAGGGTCACGTAGATGTTTAGCAGGAGGATCAGAGCTACTGTGGAATTCTTAAGGAGGTTCATACTCAAGATTGTGCCAGGGGTTTTACATGAAGGTGCATTTTTTACTTTCAAGAAGAAAAAATTTGTCTGTTTTGATCTATTCTCGGTGTTTCTCTGGGCTCTATAGATCAGCAGACTCGGAATTAATATTTTGCTCCAACCAGTGCTTAGAGACAGAAGACTATTTGAATAGGAATACAAATGCATGCTGGTTTTCCAAGCTTATCTTCCTGGTAAATAAAGCCAGAAGCCAAAGGTGGCCCTGTCATATAGCCAATAAAGTCATAAATATGTATACATTTACTTTTCATTTTCATTTTTGCTTGTACTTCTGTTAAATGGTGAGTCAGAACACTCAATATCCTGGAAAAATATTTTTTTTCTCCTATGGCTAGATCTTTCATTAGTTACTCTGTAAAACACCAAGTTCTAAATGTATTTGCTGCAGAAACATGTTCTCTTTTATCAAGTACTTTAACTGGAGTTGGAAGGAGGCCTTTTATTTTTGTAGAAGCTGCCCAGTTAGAATTGTACATTATGTAGCTCAGCTGTTCATTTGTAGACTTATCTGGAAATTCTTTTAAAAGGAAGGCAAATAAGGGAGGAGAGAAACCTAGCCTTTTGTTTAGTATTTTTCTTTTAAAAAATAAACTTTAAACTGAACCTATTGGTGAAATTTTTGCAGTGTACTGTATAGTAAACAATTACCTGCTATTGAAACATTTTATTCAGTCGTGTTCCTTCCAGTATAAAAGATTAGGCCAGGAAAAACAGGCTTGATTTTGTGAGTGCCATTCTCAATTGTATTCACTTCTGTCTGACTTCATCAGAGCCATAGAAAGGAGATGATGATATAAGAAAACACAAGAATCCATCCCAAACTTGTTTATTCTTGGGA